GTAATGGCGGGTGAACGACCAGCTCCCACTGGTTTTTGTTACTATTCTACTCCTGATTTACCTTATCGCTCTTTGCCTAGGGTGCTGGAAAACAGCTCTTGCCAGAAAAATCACAAAAATAGTCGGTTTGACATTAGAGTACCAGTTAACATTGCCATCTGGATGAACACCGCCGGCACTATATTGGGAACTTAGAAATAGAGAGAAATAAATCGAAATTCATCAAAGAGCTGCAGAATAGTGTGCATCTACACATGAGGCATAACAATACCTCAAGTATGAGCAGGCTCAACCACCAGAAGTAGAGCTGTTAGAGCCCAACCAATGTAGACCAAAACGGATTTCACGCCCAAATGCAATTAGCTAAAGTTTATTAAATTTTCCCATGCTTATTTCATTATTATCGGTGACAGGCTCCTATAGCTCACTGACGTTAGAAACAGAGCCTCATGAATATAGAAAATCAGCTCTAAGGGATAAATCTTGTGGTGTTTAGCTAAGTAATGTTTGTATTTTGTAGGCCGAAATCTGTCAACGGATCTGAAAGATCCCCTGGGTTACTCAGGTAGACCTGACTCATGCGGCCTTGTTGTAAGCTTTAGAAAAGCATGGAGGCTTGAAAAATGCTAAACTCTATTATATTGGTTGTTTAGGTGGCTCAGTATCCACTGAAAACGGTATGCTCTGGCCTGCTAACCGTGAGTTAATTACAAGCTCCCCTGCATTCCCATGTAGATATAATATTCCTTGCTGGATTTCTAGCGTTTTCGCGCAAGATCATCCCTTATTTGCATATATTTGTCATGTATGCCTGCAACGTTTACTTTGCGGCCACCTGCGCAGTCCGTAGTTGTCGCAGGGTATTACGGGCTAATTAGAGCCTTTCTGGATAGCTATGCCTATCTAGAACATACGCCGCTTCCCTGCTTTTTATATTTTCTTTTCTTTTTTCTGCTATCTGCTTGCAAAACAGAAAGCCATTTTTAGCGAAAGATAAAAATAGCCTTATTCGAAGACCACAATTTATTTGCGAATGACTCCCAAACTACTGCACGTATTGTGTTGCTTTTACGTTCATCGTATTCAGGCGCTGAAGCGGGTCCGGACCAGTGTAATTTTGTGCTACTTAAAGGTGTATTCTCACTGTAGAGATTCTTTTTCTTTTATCTGACAATATCTCAGGTTGAAATGTTTCGCCGGAGAGCAATATCGGCGTAAGAAAATAGGGCTATTTATTTTGTGAATTGGTATTTTTCTACTGAAGCACGCAGCTTTATTTTCTCTCTTAACAAATTGTTTCTATTTTTGTCTGCATTTATCGGAATTGTTTTCAACTTCGTATGCGTTATAATCCCTTCACTTATTTCTTACATGTGCGCAACAACAGTTGGGACAATTGAGTGGCCAATTAATGTGCGATCAACTTACAGTGAACTTGTGGCGAATTGGATTCTGTTCTACGGAGTAAAGGCACAACTACACCTCCGCGAAGTTTTCACAATAAAAGAACAAGGAGCCCAATGTCGCCCGAAGGAACCAGAAAAATGTCAAGGTGGGCGCCTGCGACCCAGTAGCTGTATATCAAACAATGCCAATGCATTTGTAATTGCTAACGATGAACATATAATTATATTTTGCCTACTTCCATGCAGGCGCATCGGATTAATGTAAGCATTGATCTGAACCCTTTAGGGTGCAGCCTCTAGCTGGTCTAGCAATATACCTATTTATTTAGTTATTTATTTATTTATAAGACGTTAAACCCTTCACCAAGTACACATCGAAAAATTGACTAGTCGCCGACCACTCACTGGTCGGCGAAGCTTCTCCAATGAGTTTTAGAACCACCGAAACATTGCTTAAATCTGAGAAACTTTCATGTATGTACACTAACGCCCAATGGCTCTCAGCAAACCTACCGAACTTCGAATAAGTCAGGTTGCGAGTGCTTGGGACCTAATTTCTATTACCGAAACTCGGTTACACCAAGAGGTGACTGATGCTGAGGTTGAGATAGCCGGAATATCACTCATCCGGAACGACCGCCCCAACAGAGGAGGTGGGGTCCTACTCTACTACAGCAGCGATCTACGATGTACAATCCTTGATGATTTGGAACCACACGTTGCCGACTCACTCTGGTGCCGTCTTCGACTGAGACACAACAACGCATGTCTCATATCTATCGTTTACCATCCCCAACATCCACTCCGGGGATGGATTCCTGCTTCATCAGTGGCCTAAACAGAGTAACACGCACTAGGTACAGCCACATTCTCATCTCCGGGGACTTCAGCCTACACAATCTGGAGGTTACGGCATCGCCCAGTGAGGACAAAATGACGTATCAACAGTGCCTAGCTCAAAATTTCATAGCAAACAACAAACTGTCATATACGCATGTCAATAAGCTTCGTAAAGTGAAGCATGGAATACCCCCACTATTCACGACAGGCGGTAGAGTACAAAGCGCCGAAGAAGAAGCTAATGCCCTGCGGCTGCAATACGCCCCAATCTTCAACCTAGGAACATAAACATGTCCCATAATATCAAGCACATTACCGACACCTTTGTTTACAAATGTTATTTTCAACCCATCAATTGTGCTAAGGAAATTACCCTCACTGCGTTAGCATAGTTCTCCAGGAGCAGACAACATCCGCCCGAAGGCACTGAAGGCCACGGCCACCAAGCTAGCTCAGCCACTGTCACAGTTCTTCCAAAGGTGCTTTGATGAACAACAAGTCCCCACTATGTGGAAGTGTGGAATTATCACCCCTATTTTTAAAGGCGGTAACCGTTCATATCCTGCAAACTATCGTCCAGTGACTCTCCTCCCTGTGTTCGCGAAGGTGATGGAAGCAGTCGTCGCTGAGGCTTTAATGGAATACCTAGAAATATGCATCATCTTGGTACCGGAACGGCATGGCTTCCGTCAACACCGGTCATGCACCACCAACCTATATATGACACGAGGTAGTTGGACGGAAGTGGCCGATGATGGAGTCGGAGTCGACGTCATCTATCGGATCGTTTCCAAAGCTTTCTACCGCTTTGACCACCGCATCCTACGGCAAAGACTAAAGAGTTACGGAATCGGAGATCCTGTACTTGGTTGGATTGGCAACTTCCTTTACCAACGAAAGCTTCGAGTGCATGTTAGGGGATCACTTTCTAACCCAATTGAGGTGGAATGCGGTGTCCCACAAGGCCCAGTGCTGGGACCGCGTTTATTCCTGGTGTTTATCAATGACCTGGCAAGAGTCGTCTACTCAAATTTCCTTTTTATCACCGAGGACGTCAAGATATGGCGAGCGATTAGTAACAAGACAGATCAGGATCTGCTCCAACATGACCTAGATGGCATTTACGAATGGTCAAAGAGGAACAAGCTTCAACTGAACATGGCTAAATGCAAAGTGATGCATCTGCGTCACCAGCCGGTGAGCGCTTACAAGATTGGAGACCACACCTTGGCGAAGGTTTCTCAGGAGCGTGACCTGGGTGTATTGGTACAGGAAGATCACGGGTGTTCCAAACAATCAGAGAAGGCGACGAGAACCGGCAATCAACACTTCGGCCTTCATCGCAGAGCCTTCGATCGGTTTGAACCCCAATCTTTCCCCAAATGCCTAACGCCTACGTGTGACCACACGCGGTATACGCTATTAAGGCGTGGCAGCCGTGGCAGAAACAGGCTGTCTTTGCTCTGGAGACTCCTAAAAGAAGGGCAACCAAGAACGTCAGGGGTCTCTTTCATCTACCCTATCAGCTTAGACTGAAGTCTCTAAAAATCTACAACAGTCGATATCGGCCTTTGCGGGGGATCTCATAATGTTTTACCAGATTCTGTAGTAATCAAACCACATTTGCCGTCCGCTGCTGGAATCGAACCACAACATTAAACTGAGAGGTCACCATCTGAAAATGACAGTTCAGTATAGCCAGCTTGAATGCCATAGAGATTTCTTTTCTCTCCGCGTGTGTCAGCCTTCGAAGGCCCTCCCTAACTATGTCGTATCTGTTCCCATTCTGGCGATATTTAAAAGGCGTGTTGACGATGCATTGTCTCACTTACATTTCATTTTAAGACTTGTCAGCCAGGGGCTACAAAACGCCATCAAACGGTGTCTTGTCAAACGTCTAACCAATGGATTGATGGGTTTATACGTTTAATACGCGAACATCGCTATTCCGCATAAGTCTATGGTGAGTCCACCACAACGCTTTTCACTTTATCATGCAATTGAATTTCACAATAATTTACATCCTACGGGACTTGTTAAGCAACGCTTTTTACCCGTAATAAACCATTTTTCCATTGTTTCATTGTACTAACGTAAATAAATAAATAAATATAAATATACATATATATGTATATGTATATATATATATATTCATCTGCGGATAGCGAGCTCCTCTGTGTTTCGTTACTGTCTTGGAGATTCATTCTATAGTTATTTTATGTAGTATACAATGTCTACCAAGTGCTTGGATTGCTGAAAGGCTGTCACTTCTCGGTCGAAGGCTGTTCAATGTTCCTTCTGCGAAGGGTGGCTGCACATTACATGTTGTAAAATCGGTGCAGGTCTGTAAGATTCACTGCAACGGACCACTTCCTCGGTCGTCGTCTTTATTTGTGACCAATGTCGCGCTGGACTGAGTGTCAATCGCCAATCAGTCCAAGTCCCTCGTGTCTGCATTCTGTGCAAAAGCAGGAAGATCCTCCGCTACCGGACGATTTTCCTGTCATAAATCCTCTAGGTGTTATTGTAGCGAACAATTTTCAGCCTTCGGCAGTGTCGCCATACTGCCAATAAAGCAGTGACACGAGTTATTTCGTCTTAGGAGAGCGCTGAGTAACACTAAAGCAGAAGTATTCTTGCCGTTATATAAAACTGGTTAGGCCACATCTAGAGTATAGCGCGTAGATCGTGCGCTATAAACTCGGTACGCGACTAGACGGCCAACCAAAAATAATGGATAGAAGACACAACAGTAAGCTAGGGAAAAGTTTATTGGACGGGAGGAGCGTTAGCTAATGCTAAAAATAGGGCACCCGGAGAGAGCTAGCTAGGGAGAATGTCGATGGCGTCGAGTGCGTTGACAGAGCGTCGTTCGCAATCGAGTCGCGCGCCAAAGGCGGAGATGGCGTTCGTGTTTTCAACAAACGGGAACAACGTTCCAACAGGCAAACCGCCTAGTTCCCTAATACATAAGAAAGCTATAATTTGAATGTATTTTAGAATAGTTTACACAGTCATACGGGGGAATCTCCAGGTCGCTACACAGCCCCCCTCCTAGAAGGGAAACCGTGGGTGACCCTTCGATCTACGTGAGGACTGTCCGTCGCGGGCCAGCCTTCTGCGAGACCAGGTAGTGAAACCTGATGCAGCTGCTGGGGGAGAACCAGGCGATCGGACCCTAGCGGGCTCCCACCCGTGTCCTCCCTAACGGTGCCAAAAACACAAAATGGGGGAAGTTCGTAAGCGTTAAATGTTCGCGAGTTCGTGAAGGTCAAGTGTTCGCATCAGCCTCGGCATCTCCTCCGGTTCATACATGGAAGATAAACGGAAACAAGAGCAGTGACGGTGGGGGCGAGGGCAAAAGCAAAAGTGACACTTACCGGATGAGGTAGGCGTCAGCCAAAACGCAGCTCTTTTTGTGTTTTCAAAACGTTTTGTTCTTTTTTTGGGTTTTCAAAACATTTTGCGTTCTTTTTGGGTTTTCAAAAAAACTTTTGTCGGCTTTTTTGTCGTTTTCAAAAGTTTTGGAGGGGTTCGTATGTTGTTGGCCAAAAGGGAAAAGAAAAGCAATAAGAAAAGTGAAAGGAACGCTAATCTCTTAATCGAGCTGGCCAATGAACGCGTCTACCCGACCTAGTCGACTTGTGCGAATCAGAGGAAGGCGTGGTCTTAGACGTCCTATCGGATCGCAAAATTGGAGGAACTGCTGAAGACGTGGCAGTTGGTTCGATGGGAAGCGGCGGAGCTGAAGTAGAAGGCTTGGATGGAGCGTGATACTTGGGGTCAGGGATGTTGGAAGCAGTCGAGTCTTCCATCATAGGCTGCGTTGATTCGTCAGAAGACGAGCAAGGGTCTTCGTTGAGCTCAGGTTCCACGTGGGCAACCTTGAGACGGTCAATTGTAACGGCTTCACGTTTACCGTGACGGTCGATGATAAAAACGCGGTCCTTACGCTGCAGGACCTTGAAAGGACCTTCGTAAGGTCGCTCCAGTGGTCTGCGGAGACCATCAAGGCGAAGAAAAACGAACGGACAACGCTGTAGGTCTTGCGGAACAAAAGACTTACGTCGTTGTTCTCTAACGTCGGGAAGCTTGTAGTGACGCATGCTCGTGGCTAGCTGACGTGCATAATTCGCGTCGTAACGGGGAATTCTGGGACTATCGGAGAAGAAATCGCCAGGTAAACGCAGTGGTTGTCCATATACTAACTCAGCGCTAGACGTACGTAGATCGGCCTTTAGGGCTGATCGGATCCCAAGGAGGACCATAGGCAGCACCTCAGTCCAACTCAGCGCATTGGCGGCGCTAAGTGAGGATTTCAACTGTCGGTGGAAACGTTCCACCATGCCGTTCGCTTGCGGATGATAGGCGGTCGTGCGAATGCGTTGGCATCCAATGAGTTTAAGGAGATCGTTAAAGGTCGTCGATTCGAATTGCGGACCGCGGTCTGTAGTCACTGTGGCTGGACAGCCGTGTGAAGCGACCCAGCGCTCGACAAAAGCGCGTGTTACGGTTTCCGCAGCAACGTCAGGGATGGGAACGGCTTCGGGCCAACGGGTGCAACGATCGATCATGGTCAAAATATAGACCATTCCTTTGGACGGGGCCAGTGGTCCCACTATGTCGAGATGGACATGGGCAAATCGCGCTGAAACGGGCGGAAAGCGACCAAGCGGAGCGGACACGTGCCGCTGAATCTTGGCTTGCTGGCAGGTGAGACAGCTGCGTGCCCAACGTGTAAGATCGCGTTGCATCCCCGGCCAAACGTATCTGTCAGAGACAAGCTTAGCAGTAGCTTTAATGCCTGGGTGGGCGATATTGTGGAGGGTGTCGAAAACGATACGGCGAAAAGTTTCTGGAACGACGGGTCGAGGTCGTCCGGTAGATGTGTCGCATAAAATGGTACCATCAGATGACGGCAGAGGGTGCGGGGATATCTTCAAAGAAGAATCGCGGAGTTTCGAAAAAGTTTGGTCGTTTGATTGCGCGGCGGCCATAGCAGACAAATCGATTGCCTGCCCGGCAGGACCAATCGCAGATACTCTTGAAAGAGCATCAGCGACGACGTTTTGTTGGCCAGAAATGTGTCGGATATCAGTCGAGAATTGAGCAATGAAATCCAGCTGACGAATCTCACGTGGTGAGTGTCGAGCTGATTGATTTCGGAATGCGTAGATAAGCGGCTTGTGATCGGTGAAGATAATGAAGGTGTTACCTTCGAGGACGTGTCGGAAATGTCGAACTGTAGAGTAAACGGCCAGCAGTTCGCGACTGAACGTGCTGTACTTAACTTCGGCAGGTTGTAGACGTCTAGAGTAGAAAGCAAGAGGTTTCCAGCCTCCATTTGTATGTTGCTGTAGGACGGCGCCAATGGCGGTGTCCGATGCGTCGACAGCGACACTAAGCGGAGCGTTCGGATCGAAGTGATGAAGCATAACGGCTTTAGCTAAGGCTTCTTTGCTGGCCTTGAATGCTTCGGCAGCAGCAGCAGTCAATTCTACCTGGCCGTTTTTACGTCCACGAAGTAGGTCGGTTAGTGGACTTAGCAAATTGGCACAGTGTGGAAGAAAACGTCGATAATAGTTGAGCATGCCGTTAAAACGACGAATAGCGGCTAACGTAGTCGGAACCGGAAAATCTCTGATGGCGCGGACTCTATCGTCTAGAGGCCGTATACCATACTGATCAATATGGTGGCCAAGGAATTCGACGGAAGGCTGCTGAAATATGCATTTGTCAGGGTTGACAGTGATGCTATTAGCGGCCAGCCTATCGAAAAGTATTTTGAGATGTTCTGCGTGCTGTTCTTCAGAGGCGCTGGCAACTAGAATATCGTCGATGTATGCATAGACGAAATTTAGACCTCTAGTGACTGAATCGATGAGTCGTTGAAAAGTCTGGGCTGCGTTGCGAAGACCGAACGGCATACGCAAAAATTCGAACAGCCCAAAAGGCGTGATTACGGCAGTCTTCGGTATGTCTTCCTCAGCGACTGGAATCTGGTGATATGCGCGAACCAGATCGATTTTTGAGAACACACGGGTGCCGCGCAGGCTTGCCGTGATGTCCTGAATGTGAGGAATCGGATATCGGTCGGGAACAGTAACGTTATTGAGCGCGCGGTAATCACCACATGGACGCCAGTCTCCTGACTTCTTGGGCACCATGTGGAGCGGCGACGCCCAGGGACTGTTAGACGGGCGAACGATGCCTAGTTCAAGCATGTGCTCGAATTCTGCGCGAGCAATTTTCAACTTGTCAGGGGTCATTCGTCTGGCTTTGGCAAAAACAGGCGGACCTTTCGTGACGATATAATGTTTCGCGGCCTCAGTGGCGGATGAAAACGGTGTCATTGCACGAAAGACTTGCGGGAACTTCGTATTAAGCATCTGACCGATAGGCGAGCTTGACAGGTTGGCGTATACAGGACTGATTGACTCTATGTCGGTCAAAGTACCTATAACTGCCAGGTTTGTTTGACGGTCGATCAGACGGCGTTGCTTTGCGTCAACAAGTAAATCGAAGTGCTGCAGAAAGTCAAGGCCAAGAATTGGCGTCTGGACATCTGCGACGAGGAAGATCCATTTAAATGAACGTCGTAGGTTTAGATTAAGCGTGCGCGAGCGTTGACCATACACGCGAATGGTGGTGCCGTTTGCAGCGCGCAAAGAACCGGTCGCCTCTTCGATAACGTCATTAGAATCACGTGGGATAACGCTGACTTCTGCGCCGGTGTCAACGAGATAGCGTACTCCCGTACTGCGATCGGTGACAAAGAAAAGGCGACTGGGGCAGCCAGCAACGTCCGTCGCCCCTACGTGCTGGCCTACCCGTTTCCCTGCATGTTGCGCTTGAAAGAACAAGGTGGGCGACACGATCTGGCCTGATGACCAAATCGCTCGTGGTACCAGCAATAGCTTGACCTAGGGGGAGATTTCGAACGTGATCTAGGAGGACTGCGACTACTGGGACGATTTCGGCGGTTGGATCCGGATTGTGTTAGCTTCTCTAGTCGGTTGGTTAATGCGGATACTTGCGCTCTTAGTTCTGCTACCTCTGTACTGGAGGTAGACTGAACCTGAGATATTTGGGCGTTGGATTCCCAAATACGGTCGGCTATATCGGCTAGCTGAGGAAGAGGCGCATCGTTTGCATACAAGGGATTGCGCATGTCACGTGGCAGGCAACGAAGCCACATCTCTTTAAGGAAAGAGTCGCCAACAGCGAGAGGCTTAGCTAGAGCTTGCATCTTGTGCAGCAACTGCGAAGGCTTTCGATCCCCTAGCTCTGTTTCATTAAGAAGCTGCGTGACGCGAGCATGGTCTGATATGCCAAATCGCTTTAAGACGACGGCCTTAAGCTCCTCGTAACTTTTCTGATGTTCCGGAAGTTCCAAGATGTCGTCGAGGTCATCGACGACTTGCGGGGGAAGCGCGGCGACAACGCAGTGAAATTTGACGCTGTCAGAGTTAACGCCATGTAACGAAAAAATAGACTCTAGCTGGTTAAACCAGGCCTTAGGGTTAGTCTCTCGGAAGGGCGGGAGAGGGAAACGGAACCCACAAACCTGATCGTAAGAATCTGGGCGGCTGACCTTCATGGTGAAATAATTCCGGAGCGTGTGAATGTGAACACAAATAGTAAAGAGAAAAAGTAGAAAGGTCGACAGAATAAATAACCGGATCTGAAAAAAAATATTAGTACCGAACTCACCAAAAATAGTTTTTTTTCGGGGTCACCAATTATAGCGCGTAGATCGTGCGCTATAAACTCGGTACGCGACTAGACGGCCAACCAAAAATAATGGATAGAAGACACAACAGTAAGCTAGGGAAAAGTTTATTGGACGGGAGGAGCGTTAGCTAATGCTAAAAATAGGGCACCCGGAGAGAGCTAGCTAGGGAGAATGTCGATGGCGTCGAGTGCGTTGACAGAGCGTCGTTCGCAATCGAGTCGCGCGCCAAAGGCGGAGATGGCGTTCGTGTTTTCAACAAACGGGAACAACGTTCCAACAGGCAAACCGCCTAGTTCCCTAATACATAAGAAAGCTATAATTTGAATGTATTTTAGAATAGTTTACACAGTCATACGGGGGAATCTCCAGGTCGCTACAAGAGCATTGTGTTCAGGCCTGGTCATCGTACCTCCGGAGTGACATCGTTTGTATAGAAAAGAATCAGAAACTTGCGACCAGGAGGGAAGTCTTACGAAGATCGTCTAAGTAACTTAGGATTATTTTCCTTGGAACGTCTTAGGTTGAGAGGGGATTTGATAGAGACGTTTAAGATAATAATAATAATAGGTATATTTCTCAGAAAGGTGAGACACGTTCCAGAGACCTTGGACCGATCATTATGTACAAGTTTTCTCTGAAGCTGAAATTGTTTATCGGATGCGAGGAGATTCGTATTGAGTGGGATTGGATTCAAGTTGTAATTTATTCTTATGCAGCTCCAACTTTCTTCGGTAGTAAGTATCTCATCGTACCACTGAACGAGTCGTGGTCCGGATCAACGTAAATAGAAGGGAAATAGCAAGTATTAGTAAGTATTAGTGCGATGGAGGCCGAAAACTTCCTAGGGAATTATGTACATGTGTGGAATCGAGAATAATATAGTGTGGGGAGGGTCTCGCAACCAAATTTCTGGACACAGCATAAGGAACAGCAGTATGGGTCTGGCTAACAGGGAAAAATAAGTCCACATTACTGCACAGTATAAAAGGGAAATATTTAAGCAACTACCTTATTATTGTATTGCAGATGTTGTTTACAATTAGGAGGCGCAATACGGATTTCGGATTACTTAAGATGTGTGGGCTGTGAACAAGAATGCCGAACCTTTAGTAGTTTGGCTAACTGCGCTAGGAGTTTGATTATGCAGGGAATTGGTCCAACAGAACGCCAGTGATATGTTTACGAGGTTACAGGAACTTACTGGTATTAGTTCCACCCATCTATTTCCTCTGTGAATCGAGCTTTTCAGCTGAAATAACGTGGAAAACAGTGTTTGAATAAACACTTGAAACGAAATTTGACTTTTGTCAAATTTTCCCTGATCGAAGATATCTTGGATCGATTAAATTGGTACTGGCCAAAGCGTCTTTGGCGCTTACTGGTAATTTTTCCGGTTGTTCCCAGTTTTAATCCCGTTTTGCACCCTGTTTTTGTCTTTTTATTGCGGTCGTTTTCCTATTGTATACCTGTTGTAATTCTAATCTGTTTTCCACATGAACATGGCTGTCTCGCTAAACACCGAGACGGATGGACCTATGGGGTCCTCGTTTGATGAGTCTACTGCAGCTTGCGGACAGGTTAACTGTTCAGAGCCAGTAACAGATGCATCTGGTGGTATGCAGTGTGACGTCTGCTGCCGCTGGTATCACGAAAGCTGTACCGGCCTACAAGCTGACCAGTATAAAATGCTATCATCAAGCGTCCACTTTCTTTTCAGCTGTGCTGAATGCTGCGCTAAAAGATCGACGCGCCTGGCTGTCACCGGTGCTAAACTTTCAGCGTTGGCTTCAAGGTTGGCAGATGTTGAGTTGGCGATAGCTAAACTCGCCTCTATTGCTTCGCTCGATACGAAAATGGATTTGATTTTAAAATCCCTAAATATTTCGTTTGAAGACACAGCAATAGCCGGCAACATTGCTGACGAACCATCCACTGGAGTCTGTCAATCGGTCATAAAGTCGCACATCCTACCGGCCAATCCAGGTAGCATTGCTGGCGGTCCTCATGATCCGATCAAAGTGAAGAAAAATAGGGTGCGGAAATACCAAAAGCCCTCTGCTAAACCCAGAGAAATAGTTGCCACGGCATCGAAAGTGGTGCCGTCTTTGACAGTCATAGACTCGTCTGACGGTTGCACGCAGAACTTTCCACAGACGCTGACTGTCTCGGCCGCCAGTGAACCAGCCTGTTCTGACGAAATGCTGGCAACTGCTCAATGCGATACAAAGTCAACGGCCCCTGCTCCAGTGAGCCAAAAGAAGAAGCGGACAAGATCTGCTCGTAAAACTTCGAAGGGGCTTGAAGACCCAGGCACCAGTAAGACGCCGGCAATAGAGCGGAAAACCTACGCTACCGTTGCTTCGGCGTCGTTTGGGAAGCCAGTGACAGTCCCACCGCCAGTGGTGAAAACAGCTGGTACAGGTGTCGACTCCAAGGCACGTGGGGTAAACACTCCCCGTCGTGCCGACTCTTTCACTGATAGTAGCGTTATATTCCGTAACGTTACTGAATCTGAGGCCGTTCTCCCAAGGGAACGCATCTTGGATGACATCAAGTGGCTGAAACTGTGTGTCAGCAAGCTGCTTCCACCTGGTTTCCCTGGTGTCACGGTCAGAAAGCTGACCAGATTGGGGAACGTTCCTGTCGCTGCGCCAAATCCACGACCCCGACTACTTCGCGTAGTCCTTTCTACCCCGGAGGAACGCAAATCGTTACTGCGATTTGCATTCAAACTTAAGGGTAGTGGTGTCAGCGTTCAGCCGGACCTACCACTGGCAGATAGGTTGAAGTTAAAGGAGGCTATCAAAGACCTCAAAACTAGACGGGCGGCTGGTGAGCAAGGCCTCCGTCTGGTGGGTTTTCAGGTGGTCAGCCGGAAGTTACTTTCCGCCCTATCAGAACCAATCCTGATGGCGCACGACCCAGGGATGGTCGTGCCGACTTCCTTGAGGTAGTACTTAGCAACGTGCGTAGCCTAAGGAACAAGGTGCACGAGTTGGGTCTACTTGTAGACAAATCTCGTCCCGACATACTTGCTTTCACTGAGACGTGGTTGTCTCCGGAAATCACGGACGGTGAGGTATATTTACCTGGCTACGCGCTGCTTAGAACTGATCGCTCCGTTGGTCGCCAAGGCGGAGGCGTTGTACTGTATGTGAGCTGTAACTTAGATGTGTTGAGGACTTGCACATTCCAGTCGTCGGATCAGACTGTTGAAGCCCTATCGGCTGTTTTGTGCACTTCCTCTACCCAGTTTACAGTTATAGTGATATACAGAAGTCCTGGAAGTTCCTCCAGGGGGATACTTGACTTTATTCGCACTCAGTCTGCGAATAAGTGTTTAGTTCTAGGGGATTTCAACCTCCCGGAAGTCTGTTGGGCCGATCTTTCTTGCAATTCGGCATTAGGAACATTCGGTGCAGACTTCCTTGAACTGACTCTCCAAGTGCCTTTGCACCAGTTCGTTGACTTTCCCACTAGGTATATGGACAACCAAATACCATCTACTTTGGATTTGGTTTTCGCTAAGTCCCTGGACTTCGTGACTGACGTTTCATGCGGTGCACCTCTAGGGTCTAGCGATCACGCATGCATATCCTTTCGATGTGCTCTTTCAAGGCACCAAGAGACCGCTGTTGAATTACTTCCGAATATTTGGCGAGCGGACTTTAGTGCAATGCGAACTAAGGCTTCAGTTCTGAACTGTGAGATCTCGATGACTGACTCTGTCCAGTTAGCCTGGGATAAATTTAAGGCATACCTTACGGAGGTTTCCACTCTCTATATTCCACTCATTAGGAAAAGAGGGTTAAGGGCACAGCCTCCATGGATAGATACCACAGGCAAGTTCCTACTCAAGAAACGGTCTAGATGCTGGCGAACCTACCAAGCAGCTCCATCAGCCAGTACCTATGATAGTTATCGAGAGAATAGAAATAAATGTAAGCAACATCTCAGAACTGCTCGTCTCCAATACGAGCAGGGTTTAGCGGACTCGGCCGCAGCTAATCCCAAGAAGTTTTTTGCTTACGTTAAAAGACGCAGCGGGGCAAAACTGTCTATACCAGCTTTATTGCGAACAGACGGGACCCGTGCGCAAACTGAATATGACAAGGCTTGTATACTGAGTGATCAGTATACTGGGGTCTTTGCTCGGGAGACCTCTTTACCACAGGTTCAATTGGTTTCAAGAGTTCCAGAGGATTCTTTCTTAGCTGAATTTAGCATAACGGAGACTCAGGTCTTCGAGCTACTGCAAGGCACTAATCCCTCTAAAGCTTCCGGTCTTGATTCAATTCATCCGAAGCTTCTGCATGAACTGGCCGCTGAGCTGAGTGGTCCTCTCACGTGCGTATTTTTAATATCGCTGTACAGCTGCAGCCTACCTTCGGAATGGAAGGAGGCAGTCATCTGTCCGATTTTTAAGGGCGGTGACAGCGCTCTACCCGCGAACTACCGGCCTGTCAGTTTGACAAGCGTAGTAGTCAAGTTGTTCGAGAAGCTGATAAGGGATTCAGTGGAGAACCACCTGAATCGATTCAACCTTCTCAGTGTTGCACAACATGGATTCCGCAAAGGATTTTCATGTCAGACTAATTTACTTGTAGCTCGTGAAAGCTGGGCCGAAGCGGTCGACAGTGGCCACGCTGTAGACGTGCTATTCGTAGATTTTTTGAAAGCTTTTGACACTGTTCCACATCTTCGGCTCTCACTAAAGTTGAGATCTTACGGGATATCTGGTCGCGCCCTTCAATGGGTGTCTGCCTTCCTTGAGGGGAGGGAACAGTGCGTACGGATGAGGCGTAGCCTTTCGCTCAGGCAAGCTGTCCTTAGTGGCGTTCCGCAGGGCTCGGTATTGGGGCCATTGTTGTTCGCGATCTATGTAAATGACTTGCCGGGAGAGCTAGGGGTGTCATCATTAATGTTTGCTGACGACCTTAAGTTCTGGAATATTGTGGATATCCCGGGGGGTCCTGAGGCAATTCAGCGTGCCTTGGATAGGCTCTGGGAATGGTCTATCTTATGGTTGATGCCCATAAATAGGGCGAAGTGCTCTGTTCTCCGAATCGGAGCTGCAAATCCTCCCACCCACTATGTCGTCGGCGATGAGGAACTCCCTGTTGTCACTCAGCAGGTTGATTTAGGAGTCGTACACGCATCAGCACTTCATTCTGGAGACAACTGGAAGAAGGCTGCTTGTCG